GGCGCGAAGCGGGCGTCAGCCGAGAGCCAAAAACAGTCAAGAGTCAGCGCTTGAGGCGCAGGCCCAGACCCCAAAACTGGAAACCTGACCGTTTGCGCGAGTGTGCGTGAGTGTGTGTGTTTATGGAGAAAGAACAAATTGAATTACATGTACATGTACATGTATGTGCGTGAAGAAAAAAAAAATAGTTAAAAAAGAGACGACACTCAGTCGCAATTCGGCGGCATTAAGACGTTGTCAGCGTCGTCCACGCATAAGTTGATTAAATTTCTCGCATTAGCCGATTTTCTCCCATTGGTGAAATTGTTTAAGCAATGCAACAACAGCGACAACAACAACAAAACCTAAGAATGATTGATGAGAATTTGGTCAGCCGAAACTCTAACGGTTGCCATGCAACCTGTTTGATCCACATAACCATTGTTGAATTGTTGAGCTGGCGGCGCGGCAGGCGTCAAAATCTGCGCACGCTGGCATTAACATGTGAAACGATTTTTCGACCAGATTATAATCAAGCACATCCACTTTCAATAATAATGGCCACACAAAGTGTCAGCGACGAAGAAAGTGAAATGTGAACAACATTTGGACATTTCGAAATGCTTATCAACAAAAATAAAAAAAAATAAATAAAAAAACAGTTACAGTAAAACATGCCAGCGAAATGGAAAGTTTACTTCGAAGCGCAACGCGCATCTTCGTTAAAACTAGAAGATCGAAAACAAAAACATTTCAACAATGCAACAAAAGTTGACAACTCAAATTTCCCAAAAAAAAATTTGAAAGTATTTATTTAGTATTTTTGTTAGAGTTGTCATAATTATTTGCTGATTTATTGGTTTAGATCGGAGCAACTGGAAATTTAGACGAAATTTATGCAATCCATTGATTGGCTGAATTGTGGTAAAAGTAGGCAGCTGGCAATATAATGAACGCGCACTCATGAATGAAAATAATTGTATAATAGTATAATAAGTAATTGTTGGGACGCATACATGAATATGCAATATGCAACCGTTTGCAATTTCATAATCATTCTAACGGCGTCCTCGTGAGCGCCTTACTAGAGCAGAACAGCAACAACGGCGGCGGCGGCGGCGGCGGCAAGAGCCCGCAGCGAGCATTGCCAGCGCCTCATAAACGTTGAGAGGTGGCAACGCCGAATGCGGAACCAGGCAAAAGTGCATTTCATTGGCAGATGACAAGCGAACGGAAAGCGACGATGACGATAAAAGCACTACGACAAACTCTGCACGCGAGTGTGTTTGCCTGCTAGCTGTTAGGGGGTGGGGGGTAGTCATTAAATGCATTAACCGTTACGCTTTAACCGGCGACCAAAAACTAAATACATATGTATGTAATTAAAGGCAAACAAATCTGACAGCGCTGCCGCGCGTTCCCAGCCCAAAAACCATGTGTGTGTGTGTGTGTGTATAGAGGGGAATAGAATTGGGCTGCGCGGGAATTTTAACTGTAGCTAAAATGTAGAGTCACCCTGTGTGTACATGTATTTAATGTAGTTGTTGTTGACATTTGCAACCGCTACACTGACTGCTAACAGTATTGGTCTGAGTGCTAAACGGTTTTTAATTAATTACAATTTTTTATACAATTTGTAGAGTCACCTTGTTAAGGTATTTAATGTACCTGTTGCTGAACGTTAAACTGAAAGCCAACAATGTTTATGTTTGAATTAAGGTAAGTGCGAAACGGTTTTTTATAGTGCTGTATAAGGCACAAAGTAAGTTTGTTGTCAGTGCTGCCAGTCAAATTGTTATTTTCAGTGTTTATTAACTAAAATGAAGTTGGGGAAACTTGAAAAAGAAAAGAAAACAGCTGTGATATCTTCTCCAATGCAAATAGGAAGCGTCAAGTGTGTTTAGTATGCAGCTACCCAGCTCGCAGATAAGAACCAGAGAGTTCCAAGTGCAATTAGTGCCACGATCAAAATGCACGACACGCAGATGAGCGAATGCATTTCATTTTCTTTTTTTTTTCTTTGCCTGCTTTTTCTTCTGCTGCTGTTGTCTTCTCTTTTGTGTGTGTGTGTGTGCCTGGAAATTCCAACAAAGTGCATTTGCTTTACCGCAACGAACTCCGTCGCTTTGGGGTCGATTCTCTCTCTCTCTCTCTCTCTCTCTCTCTCTCTCTCTCTCTCTCTCTCTGGATGCGATTTTACATCATTTGAATGCAATTTAGCTGCAGTTTAGCGTTATGTTCTATTTCGCCCGCGTCGCAATCCCGTCAATTCCGAGCAGTCTGTCATTTTGAGGCTAAAGCCGACATTATCTGCATTGTCCGAGAATCGTGCGCCGGCCAGATGAGTCAAAGAGGCGGCAAAGAGTAGGGGCCTATCAATGGTAATTCGGGCCAGCTTGGGGCTCATAATGATGTTGGATTTCTTGCCAATTTGCGATTCTACACGGGCCAGCTCTGCGATCGTGTGGGTGGGAGAGAGAAAGAGAGAGAGGGGGAGGGGGGGCAGTTCAAAGGCAACCCAAAAGCCGCTTAACGAGGCGAAAGTGTAAATATATGTAGAATTTTGCCCAAAAACGAAATCAACCAAAAACCACAACAAAAAAAAAAAACAAAAAATGAGTAAAGCCAAGCCATAAAAAATGTACATAATTTATAATCGACGCCCGCATTTTTCTATTAGTATTTCTCTTTTGATCCACTTCCGGGCGCGCGCGACAAGTGTGAAACGAGTGAAAATGAAAATCTCAGCCCAGAAATGTGGCCAATCGAGGGGCGTGTTCCATGTCCATGTCTACCGAGCTTTTGGCCTTGATTTTTGGATTTTGAGTGCGTCTTGGCGACGTGTTAATAGCTGAGATTCATGTTTTGGCCAAATCTATCGCCAGCGCTTTCACATTTGTATGTGAATCCCATTGATAATGCAGACCAATCAATGAGCCAAGATCTCAAGATCTATTCGGGTCGCACGCAAGCACTTCCTTCGTTTTGGCCAAATGGAAACAATTTCCGGCTTGCGACTTGTGCTTAATTGTCAGATGCAAAACGTTCTGATACAATCACCTCCGGTCGCCCGCTGTGAATCAGATAATAATAATAATAATAATAATGGAGCTGTGCTCTCCTCGGCTCTGGTCAATTGGCCCAGTTCGCAAATGTGGTAATTGCGCACGGTTAGCGACATTTAAAGCACAACGTTCTTCTACTCTCTCTCTCTCCCTCTCTCTCTCTCTCTCTCTCTCTCTCTCTCGATTGTTTTGCGGCCTTAAAGACTTCACCTGTTGCCCAGTTGGCATTCCGCCGTGTCTTGGGCCAAGTTCTTTTGTGTTTGCCGCCCTTTTTCTTAACTTTTTTTTTTTTTTTTCATTAAAGCCGTTTTCTCATTTTCTAATTTTGTTGGGCCCGTCTTTTATGGCCAGTTTCATTTGCACAAAACCATCATTTTTAGCTTTGCTTGGTTTTTATTGCTCTTGAAAACGAACAAAAAAAAAATTAAACTGAAGCATTTTTTCTGCTATTTCTTTTGGCTTGGGTGTCGGTAAAATGCAACCAGTTTTGTACCTTCGGCCTTAAGTGCGACCACTTTTTCTAGTTTAATGCATGTCCAACTAGTTTATGACCGCGGGGGGGGGGGGGGGGGGGGGGGGGGGTGAGGTACTTGCCAGCAAATGCAAAATATAGCTTAGATATATCGGGGCTTTGTCTTACCAAAAATTGATTTCTGTAGAGTTCAAATTGGGTCCAGAATTGCGTTCCATTTGACTTAGTTCTAAGTCGTAAATGTCCAATAAGTATTCATTTGTTGTTGCTAATATCTAGTTTGTAATTGTTTTAAAGCACATTCAACGATTTTTCAAATGATATTTAACGTTATGAATTTTGCACAATCGAACGGCTTATAAAGTTACCGCAAACATTTTCAAATACAACTGAACGCGCCCGAAGCTGAACGAAAACTGAATCCAATTGGATCTGCAATCACAGCTACACTCACTTCCAAAGAGAATTGAAGATGAGCAGCAAAGAGAAATTAACAGTTGCGCAGGCGCATTAAGCAACACTCACTCTACCCATCTCTCTCTCGCTCTCGCTCTCGCGCTCTCTGTTGCTTTTCTACTTTCGATCAGGTTGGCAGGCCCAAGCGTAGCCTCTGCGGCGCCAAAATCAATTCTTAAGCAAATAATTAAAAAAAGTAAGCACTACATTTGAAACGAATACAATTTATTTATACATTTTGGTGAACATGGTTTAAACAACAACAGATTTATAGCCTGTAAGGTGTGCCAGTTGATGGTGCTTTTAGCCGTCTGCCAGTTGGTTGTCCCACGACTTGGCAATCATGGCGAGGGCATGACGCTTTAGTTTTGGGCCAATCAGCGGATTCATTTGGGCCATGTAGCAGCAGAGCCAGAAGAGCCAGCAGCAGGCCGCGGTCAGCATCAGAATGCAGCGTATTAGATTCTGGTGCGGGCCCTTCGGAGTCATAATGGGCATACCGATGCCCACAGCTCCCCAGACGGCCGTGAAAAACAAAACTGGAAAGAATGCAGCGCCCATAATTGGCTTAAGTATGATATCACTACTTGTTTTTTTTTTCAGCTGCAAAGTCGCACAATTTATAAATTTTGCAAATACACTTTTGAAGCGAGGTAAGATTTTGCTTCCAATCAGAATAAATATTCGTAAAATCAATAAAAAGCCGATAACGAAATTACGCTTGTTATCGATACTTGTAGTCGAAAATACCGACTACTCGATACGTAGGGCTGTTTATTACTTGAGGTTGTGGTGGCAGCTGAGGCTGTGGTGCGTCGCAGCTGAAATTTTATTACGATTAATTTTAACGCGTAACTAAATAGCTTTTACATATAAGGTAAGTTAATAGTTAACTAGCAGCTAAAATAGTGCTTGCATCTCTAATTGTTGCTGAGGAAAATCAGTTTTGTGTTTGCAGTTGACCTTGGCTGTTCATGTTATCGTTAAGTTATCGATATTTGCTGGTGCACAATTTAAAATTATTTTCTAGATGATTAACTGGAGTTGCAGTGAGTTTGTCTGCACGGAGGATGGCTGTGGTAGGGTATTTAACACGAGATGGACACTAAAACGACACTCCTGGACGCACCGGCAAGACTCAAATACGACGCATGATTGCAAACAATGCAATAAAAACTTTTCCCGCAAAGATTCCCTGGATCGGCACAATCAGTAAATTGACCATCTGATTTCTGTAAGAAGCTTTTTTAAATCTGATCCTCCATCATTAGAATGTGTCACAGCAACATACTGTTAATGTATATGTGCTCGGTGGAAGGCTGCGGCAAGCTTTTTAGTCTTAAATCCACGCTCCATCGCCACAAATCATCGCATACGGAATGCTTCACTTGCGATGAGTGCGGCAGCAGCTTTACACGCAAGGACAATTTGACAAGACATAAAACGTAATACACTTACTCCGCTTTTATTGCTTTATATATAAATGAATTTTCATAGAATCCATACAAAGAAGCTGTCCAATAATTGCGAGAAATTCAGCCAACCTATAGAGAATACCCCTAATCTGCCGGAGGCAGAGACAATTGCATGCAAAGGAGGAGGCGATCACACCTATGCACTTTTAACAAGTTAATTCGTGCAGTCTATCGGAAATCGGAATCAATAGTGATGCAACACTGTGCACTGATCTTATCGATAGTCATTTTTGTATCGCACTAATAAAGTTAAAAAAAAAAATTGCCTTTTGTATAATTAAACGCGAGTGCATAGAAATTTGGCAAAATGACGATGCGACCAGATGATCATCGCAGAAAATGGGACAAGAACGAATATCAAAAACTGGCACAAGAGCGCCTGCTCAACCAGACTGCACCAAAGGACGAGGGTAATGCCCTCCCACGGACATTGCAGGGATTCGTTTTGTAAACCGTTTTCTATTTCTATGCCACAGAGCCAGTGCAGCGGGAAAACCTGAAGAGACGCGACTACAAGGTTGACCTGGACAGCAAATTGGGCAAAAGCGTTGTCATTAACAAAAACACACCTACCTCACAATCGGGCGGCTACTATTGCAATGTTTGCGACTGTGTTGTCAAGGATTCCATCAATTTTCTGGATCACATCAATGGCAAGAAACACCAGCGTAATCTGGGCATGTCGATGAAGGTGGAGCGCAGCACCGTTGACCAGGTGAAAGATCGCTTTCAGCAAAACAAACAGAAAATGGCCGAGAAGCAAAAAGACTACGAGCTGGAGAAGCGGCTGCGCGAGGCCAAAGAGGAGGAGGATCGCTACAAGGAGCACAGAAAAGAGAAGCGAAAAGAGCGCAAACGCAAGGCCGAGGAGAACGATGAGTTTGCGGCCGGCCTGCCCGACGACATGGCCGCCATAATGGGCTTCTCCGGGTTCGGCGGCTCCAAGAAAAACTCATAGGCCTTCGCTTAAACCGTGTAATTATTAATAATAGAACATAGAAATAGAAACATTTTTCTACCAACGAAACCCGTTTACTGGGCTAATCGCTGTGACTGTGATTGGTTTGCGACATTTATTTCATTATATATATATATATATATATATATATATATATATTTATATGTATAAGACAATTTTACACCAGTTATTGTATTGTACAACAGCTCGATCAAGTAATAATTTAATAAGCAGTTAAAATGCAGAAAGGACTTGAACCATTTTTTCTCTCTCACTAATTCTTAACTTAAAAAGACCCAAACAAAAAAAAAAAACACACTCGAATACCATTTTTTTTTGTGACTGCCAACCCAATCATACATATATTGAGTGGGGCCTTAAGTAAACACGAAGCCATGTTCAATGGGTATGTCCCAGGGAATGCTAAAGAACTCGCCCGGCAGCTGTGTGCAATGCGACGAGTTGTAATCGCGTAAATGCTTGCGCAACTGAAAATAACAATAAAATGTCAATGAGAAGCAATAAATTCTTAACTTAATTGATAACTTACCAAAAACATGGCCATTTGGCTGCGCATCTCATCACTGTAATCGGCTCCGATGAGCATGGGAAATGATTTGCCCTCGTCGGAGGCATAAGTTATCAGGCGTGACATGCACAGCTTCTCCTCGGCAACGGTGTAGCTATAGGATTCTAGCTGCTTCGAGAGCAAAGCCTTAGCCAGCGACAGCTGTGTGGATCCAAACAAGTTGGGATAACGATACTTGAGCACGGACAGCGCCAGATAATTGCCTCGATTCGTATCAATGCGATTGTCCCTAAGGAAAACAAATACATAATATATTTAAGCAAGAAAATCAAGCGAAACGCTTACTCGGCAATTATCTCGTCCTCTGTGCGGCGTATTAAGAGTAATGGTCCATTGTATTTCTCTGCCAGTTCGGCATTATTCAGATTACAATATTTACGTATGGCGACGCGAACAATGCCGCCCAGGCTGGCGGGCATGCGCGGCTGGGCCAGGTAGAGCACATCATCGAAGGTGGCGTCCAAGACCTGAAAGTGCACAGACGAGCGTGAAATTTGGATAGACTTTAAGAGTGGAGAATCTAGCACGCACCACTCCCTTAACATCGGGATATATGGAGGCGGCCCATAGGGTGCTGTAGCCGCCAATGCTCCAGCCATACAGTATGACATCCTCGACGGCAAAGCCCAGATGATTGATGGCAAATCGCACAACTGCATCGATCGCATTTTTATCCTGTTCCGGCTGCGGCTGACCCGTGCTGCCGGCAAAACCCGGATGATTCCAGCCGAGCACCGAGTATTTCAATGCAATTGGCGTGGCCATGATGCCCACCTCATAGAAACCAGCATTGCCCTCGGAGCAGATGACCAGCGTCTTGCCGTTGCCGACATTGTCGTTGCGATTGTCAATGAAGAGCGTATCGATTTCGTTGGAATCAATTGTTTTCACCTTATAGCGTATGCCATTGTCCTCCTCAATTAGTTTGGCACGTCCCGCGATCAACGCGGGTCCTGCAAGAGACATGGATTAATAGGCATACGGCTGCACTGGCAGGCGAAACATACTCATGAATTTCTGCAGCAGCTTGACGGAGCCGGGATAGATCATGGACAGGCCAAAGGTGTGTATGGCCACGTAGGCGATCAGCTCGCAGGGCAGTGTGGCAATGCTCAGGCTGTCGCGTCGGATTGCCGTGGTGGTTGGCTTCTTGGCATCGCTGTGGAGGAAAACGGTAGTTGGATTGGCGCCACCTTAGACGGCCTCCGGGGCTTGCCACACTCACCCCGCCAAGGCTTTCACATCGAAGTCCACGGGCCAGGCCGAGAAGTCAATGTCAAAGCGACGCAGTGCATCCGAGGAACTGTTAACTTTCGCCAACGTCAGCGCATTTATCATGCTCGTATAAGCGCGCGATTGACGGCGACCAACGCCGCGCATAAACAGCGATATGATGACTATCAGACCCACGCTGGTGGTGAGCTTGGCCAGCGTCGGCATCGAATCGGCCACAAAGTAGCCGCGTCTATACAGGAATGTGAAGATCAGCGGCGACGTGTAATAGCTGACGGACCACACGACCGACAGCTGTAACAAGATAATCCGCATTAGTTTAATTATACCAACCACACACACACAGACCAACACACTCAACACCCACCGTCGACAAGATTTGTTCACCAAACTTTTCAACTGGGCCGGGCTCATACATTTTTCGCTGCAATGACAAATCGGTTGGAAGTCTCAAATTACCACACGGCGTGCGTCTAACATACCTGTGGCTCGTGCACGCCTCTGTACTCCATGTACAGCTTTGGCCCGAATATGTAATTGAAGAAACTCATGTTGAAATTGGTTTTGCGTCTGAAAATATTTTGGTTTTTTTTTTCCTTCTATTTTATTGAATTGTGAAAGTTAGGGCCACTCGAACGCAATTTCAATATGAACTGGTTCTTTTTGCTTGCTAGAGATGGGCGCGTGTTTCTGCAGTTACGTTACGTGTTTTGGAATGCAAAAATCGAAATTTATTGTACTTCGTCGTGCGACTTTTTATATACAAATGATATTTTAGATTTATTCATAACACTAGCGTGACTGATACAGCAAAGATTGTGACAAATTAAAAGTTTTCTCTATTGCTGACTCAGTGAACAGTGTTGAGCAACCAGTTAAGTTGTGCCTTTTGGTATTGGTTCCAGTTCGATTATATTGCAGCCCTGGTTTGTGCAATTCGCAGCAGTCGATTTCAGATTTCAGCGCAAGTTAAACCGGCAAAAAAAAACAATGGAAAAGTTTAATAAAGCGCAGGCCAAAAACTTGGCAGCCGCACAGAAGCTTGTGAACGCGTATGCCTCCAGCTCGGAGGATGAAGGCGAACTAGATGAAAAGCATATACTGGGTAAACAACAATTTAAGCTGTGACGTGTCGTCGACCTTATCTACTCCCCCCTTCAGATCTTTTATACAAGCATTACCAAGCCTCAACGGAGGCTCCAAGTAGGGACAATGTGAATCGCACTGCAACCTTTCTGGAGAACACGCTGCATTCGGGCGCGGCTACCTGCTTGATATGCATTGGCAGCATTCGTCGTGTGGAGTCCATTTGGTCATGCAGAAGCTGCTATTGCTTCTTCCATTTGAATTGCATTCAGCGTTGGGCCAACGACAGCGTTATGCAGCTGAAGGTCAAGGCAGAGCAACAGCAGCAGCAGCAGACGGGCCACTACAATCATCTGGGCGAGTATGTGCCGCCCAAGCGTCCGAAATCCTTGTACTGGTGCTGTCCACAGTGCCGCCGGGACTATCAGCCTGCCGATCGACCCACACAGTATGAATGCTTCTGCGGCAAGGAGCTGAATCCGCAGCCACAGCCGTTTCTGGTGCCGCACTCCTGCGGCGAGATCTGCGCCAAACTGCTGCAGCCCAAATGCGGACACGACTGCAAGCTGCTTTGCCATCCCGGTCCGTGCCCGCCGTGTGCCCAGCTCGCGCAGAGCTCCTGCCTGTGCGGCAAGTCACCGAAGCGCAGCGTGCGCTGCATCGACAAGAACTGGCAGTGTCAACAAAAGGTGTGCCTTGGCTTTGCAATTTGCAATTATGATCCTCTAATATGAATCTCTTTCTTTTGCAGTGCCAAGCGCTTTTGTCCTGTGGCAAGCATAAGTGCAACCAGCGCTGCCATCGTCCTGGCCAGTGCCCGCCCTGCAGCAGCAAGAGCTCACAGCCCTGCGAATGCAAGCGCGAGGAGAAGGTCGTAAACTGCGCCGAGCCCAAATGGAAGTGCAACAATGTAAGTCGAAGATTCTTTCTTTAACCAACCTACAAACCCTCTTCCTACTTTTCTAATGGGTACAGGCTATAACAACAGACTGATAAGATATCAATAACTTCAGTTATCTTTGCTTCTTTTAGATATGTGGTGCTGCTTTTGCGTGTGGCCTGCATACTTGCGACAAGGTGTGTCACGCTGGACCTTGTGGCGGCGGCGAGTGTCCTCTGGGCGTGCGCAGTTGTCCCTGCGGCAAGAGTGTAAGCAATAGAATAGCTTCATAATTGATTTATGTACTAATTGAGCAATCCTTTACAGACCAGAACTGGCGACTGCAGCCAGTTGGCGGAAACATGCGGCGACACCTGCCAGAAGCTGTTGTCCTGCGGCAAGCATAGCTGCGCCCAGCGCTGCCATCGCGGCGCCTGCAACTTGGTGAGCGACGCAGCAATTCAATTAAATATGCACAATATCTAATTAAAGCCTTTGCAGTGCCTGGTGCGCACCAAGAAGAAGTGTCGCTGCGGTCTGCACGAGAAGGAGCTACCCTGCTCCAAGGAGTTCAACTGCGAAACCAAATGCAAACAGATGCGCGACTGTGGCAAGCATGCCTGTAATCGCAAGGTATATCTTAGGCTATTTATGCCCTGTAAAGACGCAAGTTGTGAGGGTTTTCTTTAAATATGTAGAACAGACAAAAACACGCACATTTGAAGCCGTAAAAACTATTGATTATTACAGGGTATTTGCTAGTTCTTACCAATCGCTTTTTTGTTAACTTTTTCCAGTGCTGCGGCGACCAGTGTCCGCCCTGCGAGAAGATTTGCGGCAAGCAGCTAAGCTGCAACAAGCACAAGTGCCAGTCGGTGTGCCACAATGGGCCCTGTTATCCCTGCAAGCTGGAATCCCAGGTGAACTGCCGCTGCGGCAAGACGCGTCGCAGTGTGCCCTGCGGCCGGGAGAAGAGCGCGCGCATTGTCTGCCAGGAGCTGTGCCGGTTCGTAGCCATATATATATATATAATATATTTGTTTATGCTAATCTTAAGGCATTTGCCATTTGCCTGCAGCATCACATCCAAGTGTCATCATGCCATCAAGCATCGCTGCCACAAGGGTGAGTGTCCGCCCTGCGTGCAGCCATGTGGCCTGCCCAACGATACCAGCGGCTGTGGACACATATGCAAGGCGCGCTGCCACGCAGCACTGCGTGTGCCCAAGCCAGCGGATGCGCCGCGTGCGCAGCAGCACAAGGTGAGCCTCAACTGTTGCCCAGCGAGTCCAATTTAAAAGTCATTTACTTGCTTTTAGTATGAATATCGTTCGCTGCCGCATCCGCGCTGCGAGGAGGGCGTCCGTGTTGCCTGCATTGGCGGCCACGAGCTGGCCACCTGGCCCTGCTGGAACTCGAAGCCCACGTCCTGCCAGCGCAAATGTGCGCGTCAATTGAAATGCGGCAATCATCGATGCCAGCTGGTCTGTCACGCGGTGCCCCAGCCTGAGGACATGAACCAGCAGGCGGGCTGTGCCAATTGCGAGGAAGGCTGCGCTATACCGCGACCCCCTGGCTGCACGCACGCCTGCACCAAAGGCTGCCATGCGCCGCCCTGTGCTCCGTGCAGCTTTGTCATCAAAAGCAAATGCCACTGCGGCCTCAACCAGGTCATGTACAAGTGCAGCGAGTACTTCAATCAGGAGGAGGGCGGCAGTGTGCAGCAGACGCTGGAGCGCCGGCAAAAGTTTGGCAGCTGCGGCAATCGTTGCCTCAAAAATGTGCGTATTCCTTTCGCCACATGGTGTGTCCACACTCTATATGATAAACTCTTCTACACAGTTTGAATGCGGTCATCGCTGCATAACCGTCTGCCATCCCGGCCCGTGTCCCAATCCGGAGCTGTGCCGGAAGAAGGTGCGCATCTACTGCGCCTGCAAGCGGCTCAAGTTGGAGATAGCCTGCGATAAGCATCGTGCGGGGCAAACTGAACTAAAATGCGATGCCAATTGTCTGGAGGAGCTGTCCAAGGCGAAGGCTACGGAACAGCAGCAGCTGGAACGTAAATTAAAGCAGGAGCAGGAAAAAAATCGTCTGGAGCTGGAAAAATACGAGCAAAAGTTCGGCAAGCGCAAGCACAAGGAGCGCAAAGCTTTGGATGTGCAGCCCGCCAGCTATCACATCGATTGGCAACGTTGGGGCATCTATGCTCTGGCCCTGCTCGCCGTAATGGGCGCATTGGGCGTGGCATACTATGCGGATAGCTAAACAGCAAGAATGGACCAATAACAAATGCCAAAAATGATATTTGAATTTATATTAGAATCTACATAACCATAAACGACTGATGTAACTGTTGGCGCGTGTCTTTTGAGTATTTTCTCGGCCTGGCCAAGGATTTCAAGCTGTCTTCGTCTTCTGCTTGTAAACGCAGGCGGCGGCAAACACGCTCGAGCTGAGGCACGTGGATATCAGGAAATTCGAGAGCAGTATCCAATCTTGCGACTGCACAAAAACCGTATAGATACGGGCTAAAATATAAACAAGTTAAGATTGATTGCGATAAACCCATTTTTATGTTCACATACTCATGTTTGTGAAGGCGGACAGGGCCCACGTGGTGCGGCTCACGGAGCTGGCATCCTTTGTGCGCAATATGGCCAAAAGCTGCAGCACCTTGCTGGTGGCTCCAATGGGCGTGCAGAAGGGCTGCCGAGAAAAATGAACGTAAAATTCAAAATAACGGAAATCTTTACTAACAGAAATGACAGCTGTGCGCCTTAGGCAGCGTTTACTGTATTTTATACACAATATAGCCGTGTTTGTGGTCAGCGAGAGCATTGTATGTGTATAAATAGAAGCAGCACAAATATTATACAACAAACACACACACACATGACCTTCGGCAATGATGCCCAGTTCAGATCAGTTCCGAGCGCCTCATAATGCTCAGCTCCAATGGCAATAAAAACAAAACATAATTAGTTAATGTAAAACTAGTTTGAGCCCAACTCGTTATCTGGTCGAAACACATTCTAATCAATATCGCAGCTGTTCTATTGACTATTGACTGCGTTTGTGGAGGGAGATAATGGTCTCTTACTCACCACCAGGAACGTTAGGACGATAATGGGAAAGAGCTTTAGATAGATAAGCGTTGCAATGGTCACGTAGAAGACGGCAAAGATTTGTGTACGCTTGCCCAGCATATCCTGATATTTGAAGACATAGTAGATGAGCACATATTCCTGCAGCAGCAGCACAGGATACTCCATGTAGGATAGAAAATCATAGCCTGCGCTATAATTGTAGGACATCATAACGGTATAGCTGAACAGTTCCAGGCACAGGCCAAGGATGCTGATGCCTGCCGAAATGAGTGAGAGCAAGGAATCAAGTGAGTGGGCGTTAATAATAGTTGTGTGTGTGTGGGGGGGGGGGGGGGGGGGTCTTACCTTTAGACGATTGGTTTTCGCGTATTGTGTTTATTTGCGGCACTTTGATGACCAGGCAGGAGGAGACCGTTATTAAACTCAGCAGATCAGCAATTATAAGCACTATTCCTTTGTCCAGATAGTGGGACACAATGTCCCCAAAGCCCTCGGACGCCACCGTTGTAGCCATTGCAGCAGCCAAACTAATATTAATTGGCCTTTTGACTTGATTTAAACAGAAGCAATCGATTGCGGGCGGGCCTGTGTATCGATATGCAGCTGTACACAGCATTATTTCAAGCAATGTCTTAAATCAGTATAATATACAGATGCTCTGTTTTTTGTTGCTCATTCAGTCAGTTTGGCATGTTTCACATAATTAAAAACATTTTTTTTTTTAACATTTTAAAAATAGTTCCCAATAACATATATTATCGAATAGCATCACTCGATGGTATCGCTGCTGCTCCGTCTATCGATAACTTAGCGTTGCGGGCAACGTATCGATGCTTTGTCTCGATACTTTGGTGCTGCTGACATACAGTGGCAGCGCAGCTCAAGTCATTTAGTTATTTTTCTGTCTGAATTTAAGAATTTTTGTTTTTGTTTGTCAGAATAATACTAATACGGTTAATACAAAATAATAATTCTGGAGAGCTGAGCAATCCTTTACAGACCAGAACTGGCGACTGCAGCCAGTTGGCGGAAACATGCGGCGACACCTGCCAGAAGCTGTTGTCCTGCGGCAAGCATAGCTGCGCCCAGCGCTGCCATCGCGGCGCCTGCAACTTGGTGAGCGACGCAGCAATTCAATTAAATATGCACAATATCTAATTAAAGCCTTTGCAGTGCCTGGTGCGCACCAAGAAGAAGTGTCGCTGCGGTCTGCACGAGAAGGAGCTACCCTGCTCCAAGGAGTTCAACTGCGAAACCAAATGCAAACAGATGCGCGACTGTGGCAAGCATGCCTGTAATCGCAAGGTATATCTTAGGCTATTTATGCCCTGTAAAGACGCAAGTTGTGAGGGTTTTCTTTAAATATGTAGAACAGACAAAAACACGCACATTTGAAGCCGTAAAAACTATTGATTATTACAGGGTATTTGCTAGTTCTTACCAATCGCTTTTTTGTTAACTTTTTCCAGTGCTGCGGCGACCAGTGTCCGCCCTGCGAGAAGATTTGCGGCAAGCAGCTAAGCTGCAACAAGCACAAGTGCCAGTCGGTGTGCCACAATGGGCCCTGTTATCCCTGCAAGCTGGAATCCCAGGTGAACTGCCGCTGCGGCAAGACGCGTCGCAGTGTGCCCTGCGGCCGGGAGAAGAGCGCGCGCATTGTCTGCCAGGAGCTGTGCCGGTTCGTAGCCATATATATATATATAATATATTTGTTTATGCTAATCTTAAGGCATTTGCCATTTGCCTGCAGCATCACATCCAAGTGTCATCATGCCATCAAGCATCGCTGCCACAAGGGTGAGTGTCCGCCCTGCGTGCAGCCATGTGGCCTGCCCAACGATACCAGCGGCTGTGGACACATATGCAAGGCGCGCTGCCACGCAGCACTGCGTGTGCCCAAGCCAGCGGATGCGCCGCGTGCGCAGCAGCACAAGGTGAGCCTCAACTGTTGCCCAGCGAGTCCAATTTAAAAGTCATTTACTTGCTTTTAGTATGAATATCGTTCGCTGCCGCATCCGCGCTGCGAGGAGGGCGTCCGTGTTGCCTGCATTGGCGGCCACGAGCTGGCCACCTGGCCCTGCTGGAACTCGAAGCCCACGTCCTGCCAGCGCAAATGTGCGCGTCAATTGAAATGCGGCAATCATCGATGCCAGCTGGTCTGTCACGCGGTGCCCCAGCCTGAGGACATGAACCAGCAGGCGGGCTGTGCCAATTGCGAGGAAGGCTGCGCTATACCGCGACCCCCTGGCTGCACGCACGCCTGCACCAAAGGCTGCCATGCGCCGCCCTGTGCTCCGTGCAGCTTTGTCATCAAAAGCAAATGCCACTGCGGCCTCAACCAGGTCATGTACAAGTGCAGCGAGTACTTCAATCAGGAGGAGGGCGGCAGTGTGCAGCAGACGCTGGAGCGCCGGCAAAAGTTTGGCAGCTGCGGCAATCGTTGCCTCAAAAATGTGCGTATTCCTTTCGCCACATGGTGTGTCCACACTCTATATGATAAACTCTTCTACACAGTTTGAATGCGGTCATCGCTGCATAACCGTCTGCCATCCCGGCCCGTGTCCCAATCCGGAGCTGTGCCGGAAGAAGGTGCGCATCTACTGCGCCTGCAAGCGGCTCAAGTTGGAGATAGCCTGCGATAAGCATCGTGCGGGGCAAACTGAACTAAAATGCGATGCCAATTGTCTGGAGGAGCTGTCCAAGGCGAAGGCTACGGAACAGCAGCAGCTGGAACGTAAATTAAAGCAGGAGCAGGAAAAAAATCGTCTGGAGCTGGAAAAATACGAGCAAAAGTTCGGCAAGCGCAAGCACAAGGAGCGCAAAGCTTTGGATGTGCAGCCCGCCAGCTATCACATCGATTGGCAACGTTGGGGCATCTATGCTCTGGCCCTGCTCGCCGTAATGGGCGCATTGGGCGTGGCATACTATGCGGATAGCTAAACAGCAAGAATGGACCAATAACAAATGCCAAAAATGATATTTGAATTTATATTAGAATCTACATAACCATAAACGACTGATGTAACTGTTGGCGCGTGTCTTTTGAGTATTTTCTCGGCCTGGCCAAGGATTTCAAGCTGTCTTCGTCTTCTGCTTGTAAACGCAGGCGGCGGCAAACACGCTCGAGCTGAGGCACGTGGATATCAGGAAATTCGAGAGCAGTATCCAATCTTGCGACTGCACAAAAACCGTATAGATACGGGCTAAAATATAAACAAGTTAAGATTGATTGCGATAAACCCATTTTTATGTTCACATACTCATGTTTGTGAAGGCGGACAGGGCCCACGTGGTGCGGCTCACGGAGCTGGCATCCTTTGTGCGCAATATGGCCAAAAGCTGCAGCACCTTGCTGGTGGCTCCAATGGGCGTGCAGAAGGGCTGCCGAGAAAAATGAACGTAAAATTCAAAATAACGGAAATCTTTACTAACAGAAATGACAGCTGTGCGCCTTAGGCAGCGTTTACTGTATTTTATACACAATATAGCCGTGTTTGTGGTCAGCGAGAGCATTGTATGTGTATAAATAGAAGCAGCACAAATATTATACAACAAACACACACACACATGACCTTCGGCAATGATGCCCAGTTCAGATCAGTTCCGAGCGCCTCATAATGCTCAGCTCCAATGGCAATAAAAACAAAACATAATTAGTTAATGTAAAACTAGTTTGAGCCCAACTCGTTATCTGGTCGAAACACATTCTAATCAATATCGCAGCTGTTCTATTGACTATTGACTGCGTTTGTGGAGGGAGATAATGGTCTCTTACTCACCACCAGGAACGTTAGGACGATAATGGGAAAGAGCTTTAGATAGATAAGCGTTGCAATGGTCACGTAGAAGACGGCAAAGATTTGTGTACGCTTGCCCAGCATATCCTGATATTTGAAGACATAGTAGATGAGCACATATTCCTGCAGCAGCAGCACAGGATACTCCATGTAGGATAGAAAATCATAGCCTGCGCTATAATTGTAGGACATCATAACGGTATAGCTGAACAGTTCCAGGCACAGGCCAAGGATGCTGATGCCTGCCGAAATGAGTGAGAGCAAGGAATCAAGTGAGTGGGCGTTAATAATAGTTGTGTGTGTGTGGGGGGGGGGGGGGGGGGTCTTACCTTTAGACGATTGGTTTTCGCGTATTGTGTTTATTTGCGGCACTTTGATGACCAGGCAGGAGGAGACCGTTATTAAACTCAGCAGATCAGCAATTATAAGCACTATTCCTTTGTCCAGATAGTGGGACACAATGTCCCCAAAGCCCTCGGACGCCACCGTTGTAGCCATTGCAGCAGCCAAACTAATATTAATTGGCCTTTTGACTTGATTTAAACAGAAGCAATCGATTGCGGGCGGGCCTGTGTATCGATATGCAGCTGTACACAGCATTATTTCAAGCAATGTCTTAAATCAGTATAATATACAGATGCTCTGTTTTTTGTTGCTCATTCAGTCAGTTTGGCATGTTTCACATAATTAAAAACATTTTTTTTTTTAACATTTTAAAAATAGTTCCCAATAACATATATTATCGAATAGCATCACTCGATGGTATCGCTGCTGCTCCGTCTATCGATAACTTAGCGTTGCGGGCAACGTATCGATGCTTTGTCTCGATACTTTGGTGCTGCTGACATACAGTGGCAGCGCAGCTCAAGTCATTTAGTTATTTTTCTGTCTGAATTTAAGAATTTTTGTTTTTGTTTGTCAGAATAATACTAATACGGTTAATACAAAATAATAATTCTGGAGAGCTGACGGCACATTGAAGAAAACGGCAGAGAAACGTACGTTGTAAATTCAATTAAACGTGTGCTCGGTGGCAAATGCTTCTTGTGCATGGGCAAGTGTGTGTATATGTGTGTGTGCGTGAACTAAACGCAAAAAGTGTAAAACGGATGAAATAGTTAAACAATTAAGATCAAATGCAATTGCATGCCGCAAGTGTATACCAAATATATGAATTCTGTTGTTCAAAGTGCACAAATAAATCTATCTAGGGGTAAAGTAAGCTCATTTTCTTATGCATGTCGTGACATTTGTTCTGCTGTATGTGTGCATGCGTGCGTGTATGTGTGTGTGTGTGTGTATATGCATACGACATCCGACGTAGTCGCTTTTGTATGTGTACAACAATGTTCACATTTTTTCTTTTGTTGCTTGCTCCACGAATTATGGGGCTGGCTCTCGCTTAGTGCAGGTGCAGAAAAGTGGGGTTAGGGCCAATACAAATCAGTTATTTTCTATTTTCATACTAACTTTAAAGATTTTTTTTCTTTGATTACCCGTTTCCCCCAATTCCCATGGTCATTTGGCTATGTATCGTACATAGAATGAAAAAACTATTTGTGCCTTGAAAACGACATTAATGGATGACAAGCGAGGGTCGGGGCATTTATGCTCGCTTTAGTCCTGTGTCTTGTCGTGGTCGCAGCACAGGTAACACGAATGCCGTGTGAAAGCGGACACAAAATGAAGCAAAACTGAGACCGAAAACGTGGACGGGAGACCCTTAAACCTTCAGAGGAGGTCAACAGCCATTTTTGAGAAGGGGAGGGTTTAGACGGCGCAAAGCAGCGACACATTCTCGTGCACATCTGATCTGCTTTGCGCGTGATGCAACACAGGATCCACACATACATACACGTGTTTGCGCCTGTGTGTGCGATGAAAATTCCTATGCGGATCGGCCTTTGTTATTCGACTGCAGCCCGCGGCCTGCAGTGATCCCTTTTTCGTTGTCTGTACGTGTGTGTGCTTGTGTGCGTTGAATTGATGCTGTGCGCGAGAGCGAGCGAGCGAGTGAGAGGGCGAGTCTGAGACTGATGGTCGACGCTGATGGCTGCGTTGCGAGCGAGCGAGAGAGATAGAGAGAGGAGAGCAGAGCAGAGCAGAGAGCCCAAACAGATAGCGGCTTAAATTGCAAGGTGTACGCTATCGTTGTCTTTGCTGCTGCTGTTGTTGTTGTTGTTGTTGTTGTTGGTGTGTATCTTTATTGCTTCTTCTTCCGTCCGTTACTTTTGCTCTTGTCATCGCATGCCTTTACCTTTTCAGCCATGCCTGCCTGGGCTATTGATCTGTGTGTGTGTGTGTGTGTGTGGGAATGTGTTTGTATGTTTGTTGTAATACCCGTTTCATCTTCTTTGCCCATTCTACTTCGCGCCGTTTTAGCTTCTTCCGCCGATGCACTTTTGTGATTTCCTTTGCCAGTTTTTGATTGTTCAGACGACGGCTGCTGCGACGGCGGCTGCGTCTGTTGTTGGTTGTTGTTGCTTTACAGACATTTTTCCCACTGCTTTTCTTTTGATTTTTGATTTTTTTTTTTTTCGCAATTCTCAGTCTCATCTTCATCAGGCGAACGTAGTAGGAAGAGTGAGCGAGAGAGACAGAGAGAGAGAGTGAGGGACAACCGACAACAGACAGCAGAAAAGTGCCTGCACACGATCTCCTCTCATCGTGCTTATTACTTTTGCCGTTTGCCTCTTAGCCCATGCTTCGCGTTGCGTGGGAATTTTTACAGAGCGTCGCAGTCGCAGCCAACAGCGGCTCGTTCCTAGCGGGTTTTTTTTTGCTGGTAGAAAAAAAAGAAGAAGGATAGCTTACAAGTTTAACTGTGACGCCTGTGTATTTATTCAAGTAAGTTAAAGATTAGTTATATTTGTCGCAGTTTATTATTGTTTAAAGAAAGCGTATGATGAGACAAGCATGTAATGTGGCCTTAAGAATCAGAATTATTTTCGATCCAAGGATATTTAGTTATTTATAAGTAGGATCCGATCTCATTTGTGCATTTCCCGTGAGAACATCCAACGGACACTTCCATCACATCTTTCGATGGGTTCCATGTTCTATGTTGGATTTGAACCGGCGACCGCTCGCTTGTTACTCCGATCCCTAAAAACCCGGTGTACACAGAACCAAGACTTCAGCTTCACCAAAGCGCACTTAAAAGGCTGCATGAAGGTCGAATATTCCACAGCAGAGGGGATGCTCCTTTTTCGACTTCACAATCCTTCATAAGTGTAGCTTTCGAGCTCGTCTGAAACCATGTAGACGTTGCTTTCAATGCCCAAAAAACTAGACTTAAAGCCAAATGTGTTGTTAACTTGCAGGCGAGGAAAGCAGCAGCAGCAGCAGCAGTGCACGCAGAGATTGACTTCCCGCCGCGCATAGTGATAGTATTATGGAAAAAGGATGTTCAGTTGCTAGCAGTAATTGTGAAAGTGCCGAGGACGACGCTCAGCAGGAAAGGAGCAGCAGCAGCCGAACTGGAAGCCACCAACTAAAGCCGCTAACACCTCAAGAAGCATCACAGCCACAGCGACATCCACAGCGACATCCACAGCCAAAGCCAAGCACTAGCCAAGCGAGATTAATAGTAGCTGAATCTATGTCCAAGTTGAGGGAAGACGTGGAGGACTGTGTCTCTTCAAATTCGCAACATGGCTTTGCCGTCGTGCTCGATGATGAGTCCAGTACCGAGACGGGCGTCCTGGAAACGTACGAGATAAGCTCTTCCAATTCACTGCCCACCAGCACGGGAGGCGGGGCTGCTTCAACAGTGGGCGTTGTGGTGCCAGTCGACGATAGCTCCTCGACAGATACACTCAATGGCAACGAGAACGGACGCAGCGAGGATGATGCCGCCTCCGAGGAGCGCAATTCCGTTTTCTTCAATGTCAACGATACAGAGCCGCCCGTTGTATGCCTTATAAACGATGACGATGATTTCGATGAGGAGGAAATTGTCGAGGAGGAAGACGACGACGACGACGACGACGAGGAGGAGGAGGAGGTGGAGGTGCGCTCCATGCCCACAGACTGCCCCAACAATACATCACAGATCGATGGCAGCGCCGGCATCGGTTGCACCGCTGACGGCATCATCACAACAGCCGATGGCTCCAAAATATTCCTGGAGACACCTGTTGTTGACGAACCGCAATCACATACTCATGCCAGCGTCACGGCCGGCAATCCGGCTGCCGCATCCGAGCAGCTGCTCGCAGGCAAACCAAAGCGGCTCAGCGATGAATTCGAGGCGGAGGAGCAGAACGTCCCGCCCCAAGGAGTTAAGGCTGAAACGGAATGCGGACAGGCGGATGTGGCTAGCAGTTCGCTGCACGACAGACAAATGTCCGTGCGGCTCAAGCAGATGAGCCTGACGGCCAGCGCCGAGGCGACGGCAGCCGCCAGCTCGACCAACAGCCACAGCTCGAGCACCTTAAGCCAGGCGGACATTGACTCCATGGATCGCATCGAGCGTCGCGACTTTGAGACCGAACAGCGACTCACCGGCGGCATTATACTCGGCACAAGTTCGCTGATAAGCAAAAATCGCCTCAATCTAAGTCTGATCAATCGTGCCGCGGCAGCAGCAGCAGCTGGAGCTGGAGGAGGTGCAGCAACAGCTGGAGCTGGCGGCGGCAGCGATGATTGGCCCAGCAGCAGCCAGGCGCGCGCCTTCTCCTCGGACAGCAAGGTAAATGAAGAAATCTATGAGATTGTATATTCCATGAGCAGTAGAATCTATAGCTAGCTACAGATAATTATTCAGGAGACGTCTGCGATCTCTGCTTGACCAGGACGACCTGAGTAGATGCCAGGTCTTTTTGGTCTGTCCGTTTCTTATCTGGATCCAGCTCTTTAAGCAGCAAATTTGTTAGCTAGACTCTTCTTATAAACATATCCATGCAGATCCCGCTTCTCCGTTCAGGGAATCTGTTATTCCTCTTTTAAAATATCTAATGGAATCTCATTCTTGTAGTGCACGTACAAGGATCTATCGACGACGCCGACGAGCAGCCGCAAGTACACGAACAGCCGACTGAGCAAGTCCACTGCCAAACTTAATTTGGGCTCAACGCTGGATTATGCTATTGCCGCGTGCCCGCAGCACAGTTCCAGCACCAATTCCAAGCTGCCCTTTGTGGTACTCGTCAAGTCGTCCAGCGTTAACAGCAGCGGCAGCGGGAGCAGCAGCAGCAGCAGCAACGCGTCCACTTCCACCACCAATCGCACAGATGTCTACACGAGCACCAACTCGAATGACAACCTGAACGCCTCCGCGACAAGCTGTCAGCAGCAGCAGTCGGACAAGGATGCAGCCGCGCCACTGGCCACATCCTTCAGCTCGGTGGGCTCACAGACGAGTCAGGAGTCAGGCTGTAGTCGCACCAGCGTGCTGGCCAAGTCGCTGGACGTGGATGCACAGCCATCGACCTCGGCCACATCGACCACATCCTCGGCGCGTTGCCATTACGCAGCGGCAACTGTGAAGGCGGCCACAAGACAGGTGAATGCCAGCGCCCAGACACAGGAACGTTTTCTGGCACGCAGCGGACTAGCAGCTGGCGGCAATAACAACAACAATCGGCCTCGTCGCCGCATTGAAGCCACACGCAACAGCGCCAATGATGCCATTGTTCTGGGCATTGTTGTCGAGGAGAATCCCAATAATGGTGACAACGGCGGTGGCGGCGGCGGTGGAGGAGGCGGCGGTGGAGGAGGCGGCGGCGGTGGCGTTGTCGAGCCGGGTGACTTTAGTGCCGAGGAGCCATGGGGTAATTGCGATGAGGAGAACAACTGTTCCGATTTGGAGGAGATTTGCACATGCCAGAACAGCATCTTGGCCACGAGTCGCAGCGGCAGCAATGCCAGTCTTAGCGAAGCCCTCGACATGGACGCCATGGATAGCTATCACGACGAAGCCGTTGCCAGCTCCGACTGTGTCCAACAGCAGCAGCAGCAGCAACAACAACAACAACAGCAGCAGCGCAAACGCAAATACAACGAGGGGCGTATGCTGGATGGTGACTATTCCATGAGCATAACGGGCAGCGGGGGCGCAGCTGGCGGCGGCCTGGGCAGCATTGCCGGAACGGGCGATAATAGCCGTAAGCGGATTGCCTATGATTTTGCCTCAACACCGCGCTCCTCAACCCAGCAGCCCTTAGGCAATGCCGTGATGCTCACGATGACGCCAACGACAACGACGGGCGTCGGCCTGGTGGGCAGCTCGCCGGCGCTGGGTCGGCGTACGCCGCGTGCCCTGATGCCGACACGCGACAATCCGCCGCCGGAGCTGCAGCATTGGCTGGCGCAATTCCAGCGCTGGTCCCATGCCGAACGGCTGCTGGCCGTGGATCGTCTGATCGATCATTGCGATCCCTCGCAGGTGCGTCACATGATGAAGGTCATCGAGCCGCAGTTCCAGCGCGATTTCATATCGCTGCTGCCGCGCGAACTGGCGCTATTTGTGCTCTCATATCTGGAGCCGAAGGATTTGTTGCGCGCCGCACAAACCTGCCGCAGCTGGCGTTTCCTTTGCGACGACAATCTGCTGTGGAAGGAGAAATGCCGCAAGGCGCAGATCTTGACAGAGACGCGCAGCGATCGGCCCAAGCGTGGACGCGATGGCAATATGCCGCCGATTGCGTCACCCTGGAAGGCGGCGTACATGCGACAGCACATCATCGAGATGAACTGGCGTTCACGGCCCGTCCGCAAGCCCAAGGTGCTCAAGGGTCATGACGATCATGTCATCACCTGCCTACAGTTCTCCGGCAATCGCATTGTGTCCGGCTCCGATGACAATACGCTTAAGGTTTGGTCTGCGGTCAATGGCAAGGTAAGCTGCGCAAGCTAATCCCCGGCGAGGAATCGCAAGTAATCTTCATTGTTTTTTTTTACTTTGCAGTGCCTGCGCACCTTGGTGGGTCACACGGGCGGCGTTTGGTCCTCGCAAATGTCCGGCAATATCATTATTTCCGGCAGCACGGATCGCACGCTCAAGGTGTGGGACATGGAGAGCGGCAGCTGCGTCCACACGCTCCAGGGACACACCTCAACGGTGCGCTGCATGCATCTGCATGGCAACAAGTAAGCGAAGTTTGGCCGCAGATACATTTGGATTTGCAACTAATCCCCATCTTCTTGTTAACCCAGGGTGGTCAGCGGCTCGCGGGATGCTACGCTGCGTGTTTGGGACATTGAGCTGGGCACGTGTCTGCATGTGCTGGTGGGTCATCTGGCGGCGGTTCGATGTGTGCAATACGATGGCAAGCTGATCGTGTCCGGTGCATACGATTACATGGTCAAGATCTGGCATCCCGAGCGACAGGAGTGCCTGCACACGCTGCAAGGACACACGAATCGCGTCTACTCCTTGCAGGTACAGTTAATAATCGGGCAATGCTCTGCAGAGCTTATCTAATCCCCTTCATTGTTCCAGTTTGATGGCCTTCATGTGGTCTCCGGCTCGTTGGATACCTCGATACGTGTTTGGGATGTCGAGACGGGCAATTGTAAGCACACGTTGATGGGCCACCAAAGCCTCACGTCCGGCATGGAGCTGCGCCAGAACATACTGGTCTCCGGCAATGCCGACTCCACCGTCAAGGTCTGGGACATAACAACGGGACAGTGCCTGCAGACGCTATCGGGTTTGTTTGCTTTGCTGCTTTGCTCGACTCGATTGATGGATTAATCCGGTTGATTCTCTAATGCTTACCAGGTCCCAATAAGCATCAGTCCGCGGTCACCTGCCTGCAGTTCAATTCGCGCTTTGTGGTGACCAGCTCCGATGATGGCACCGTCAAGTTGTGGGACGTCAAAACGGGCGACTTTATACGCAATCTGGTGGCACTCGACTCCGGTGGTTCCGGCGGCGTTGTCTGGCGCATAAGGTACTTATATATATATGTAAATACTAGACTATAATCTGGCTAAAGCTGTTACCAACTGAAGCGAGAGACTACAAGCTAGCCAGGAAACCTGCTAAGGAGGCCAAGAAGAAGCAGCCTGAAGAGGACCTACCTAACAGCTCAAGTCGATCGATGCCTTTAGTCCTAGCATGCAGATCCTCAGCCAAACAAACTTGAAACTAGTCTAGTCTAAATACCTAAACCTATTTGTAAATACCTATACTAATTGTAGACTAACTTCAGCTAGTTAACAAAAGTCCATATTGAATACTGTTCCCACTAGCTTTAACTGTTATTGCGCTGTTAACAGACTATTACAGCTGTTAACAGATTGAGTTCTTTTAAAACTGACCCCCAATTGAGAATAGGTAACATGGGAACAGTGCTTCAATCTAGACATGTCCGTCTGTCGATCAGGAAAGCTTCAAAACCCAAACAAAAATGATCATTTATATCTATATATCCCTCCATATTGAATGTTCACTTTTTGATATGCCCCCTTTCATTTCCCTTAAATTAGGATCTTTATGCTTTGGTATAAACATTTTTCTAAGCCATATTTAAGCATTTTGCTTTTTGCAAACGGTTTTTATTAAATGTTTTCCTTTTCTCGAACACAGAGCGAACGACACGAAGCTGATATGCGCCGTGGGCTCACGCAATGGCACGGAGGAGACAAAGCTTATGGTATTGGACTTTGATGTGGAGGGCGCTTGTGTCAAGTGCTCATAGGAACAGTGCCAGGAACAGTTCCAGTTGCAGTTCCAGTTGCATTTCCATATGCAAACTGTTTGCAAAAGATGGCGCCAGCTGCTCTATGTTATGATAAACGCGAATGCCGCTAAAACGCTTTAGCGAGCAGCCGGAAGCGATATCACACACACACATACATTCACACAAACACACCCATATATATATATATACCCACACACTCTCACACACACACACACACACACTTACAAAGAGGACGCGTCTATCTGTCATGCATAATCAGAATGTTATCGTCGCTTGCCTTGCCAACAAATGCAGCTGCTCACACACACACAAACACACACACACATATATACACCACGAACACACACACACACACATGGGAGTTGAGAGTTGTGAGTGTTAAAAGTTTTCAATTGCGTTGCTTTTATATAGCCAAAATTTGTTTTCCACAAAATAGCATAATTTTTGCTTCTTAGTTCTTATTGATTATAAAAAACGTGCATACACATACACATCTTTATATACATATATATATATATATATATGTGCCTATATATATATATATATTGCATTGAAAGTCGAATACTTAGGGTACATATTGTGTAATATGTAATATTAACTATATACGTATTATGCATATACAACATATACATACATACATACATATTTTGTTCCGTGTCGAATGAACCGAAAAACGTTTTATGAAAAAACAGCTTTATTATATTGATTAAAATTGTAAATTGTTTAAATGATTGATTAATTAATTAATTATGCTAATGTTAATATTGCCGTTAGAGCATTTTGGTGTCCACTTGAGTTATCGTTTCTGTTTCTATATATTCTGTGGTTTCGTTCGATCTGTTTTGTTTACACGCACTCACACACACACACACACACACATACGCATGCGTAATTACACACACGTATGCAATTGAGCGTATGTTATTTGATTTAAACAAGTTTCTGTTAAAATGCTTCCCGTGTGGCTAGTTCCGTGCAAATTGTATGTTCGTATATGCTTCAAATTATTGAGAGAAAAGAAAAATCGAAATAATTTCCATTTTTTTTTTTATGTTTTGCCTGCTTTTTAGTTGGGCCAGAGCCGTATATAGAGATTTAAGTATTTCGTGGTACTCAATTCATGAGGGAGAGGGGGGGGGGGGGGGGCAGCTCACACACACCCAAACTCACACATGCAAAACAAACAAAAAACACACATACATACACACACAAACACAAAAAAGCATTAAGCGAACATATATTTTAATTATAGACTGATTTATTAGTAATTGAAATTAATCTACAAATTTAAGCATAAATCTGAATAAACGCAGGAATAATAATTAAACCAAGAGTTAAATACAAAATGCATGTGCATGTGATTTTATGTTTGTTTTCTATCCTTTTTTGTGATAAACAAACGAAATACTTGAAAATGACAAAAACAACAACAACAACAACAAAAAAAACAACAACATCGATAACGGCCAATAGAACGATAATTGAATATACGGTATATTTGTACTCACCATGCGGCGCACAAATGTATTTGGCCGGCGGTTGAGAAAGAAGATAACTCTAAACAATAATTGAAATACTTTATGGCATAATTATCGTAACAATAAATGAAGTAAATCCTAAATTCCTTTGTAAAGTTTTGTTCGGCTTTTTAATTGTAATATCTAGAGATTTAAGTCATTTTTATTGGTAACTCACCTTTTTTTTAGTTCACCTCATTTCATTGAGTGCAAGTGCAACTATAACTGTAAGCTGTCAACTGCTCTCTTGCTCTCTCATCAGCAGCAGCTGCAGCAGGCTATCGATCAGGACTGTCGAATGGTAAGGTGTGACGTCACAGCTCTGGCGGAATTGATGCAGCCCTGAATGAAGTTTGTTTCTTATATGCATTTTTCAGGGCAAGTGAAGTACCACGCTGACAAAATTCCAATGCATACTTTCCGGGGCAACAATTGCAAGCAGTGCACTTGCTTGAAAATCACACACACAGGTACAACATCGTATGCTATAATTGATGCATAAGGATGTGAAGAACAGAGAGCAGCAGCTACTTTTACTGACGGCTACTCAGAGGATGAATATTTCGGAGCATATTGCCAATTTCGCAAGTAATTAGTTATATAGGTTCACCAGGAATACATTTACAGTTTAGTTAGCGAGGATATTTTGAAAAATATCGGATTACCGATATATATTTTTTAAACGATTTTTGATAGTTATCGATAATTTCGTTGAATGATTACGAATATCGATCGATATTGAAAAATTAAACCGCGTAACTCTGAACGATCTTTGAAAATTGGATCCATTCTACCCTTTTTAAGCACATAAATATATATAAAATTGAATTTTAGATTAATAAGATTTTACACACAAGCAATGCAATAGCTTTCCACCCATTTTCCTCAGTTGTTGGTAGAAATATTTCATTGGTTTGGGCTCATCAATCAGCCTGGTCCGTTCCAACAGTTCGATTTAGATTTATAACTGAATAACGTGAATATAATGGACTTCTTTAATTGTGTTCGTTAACTTAAAACAAATCAATTCATTCATGATTCAACTTATAAATGGGGGTCAATCGACTGAGTATAATACATAATTTTAACTGGATAGAAAAACACGTGGATAATGTTTTTATGGTGCGAGTATATCTTTGAGTGCATCTTTTACATTTTGGACTTCTTGCTGCTGTGTCCCTCGATGCCCAAATTGCAGCGCGAGGCAACATCCTGCACGGAGGTCAGCCCCGTGGTGCTGGTTGGCAACGGGCCACCAAATGCCGAGGCAGACAAATTGCCATTGCTGGGACGCTTGCGCGGCGGCGAATGGACAGGTGACTTTTGTTTGAGGCACTCGACATCATCGAATACCACCTGGGCACCGCCGCCGCAGGTGGGTATCACATTGCCCTTGTACAGTTTGGTCTCGACGTCGCCATCGGTGTCCGCCTCCTGGGAGACGAGACAATATTTGTTGGCGCCATGTCCGGTTAGCTCCTTCATGTCCGTCAATTTGGTAACCGACTTGCGATTCTTTAAATATGGCTGCATAATGGTGCCCAGTGGCACAGGATTGGCAGCGCGATGCTCCAGCCACTTGTCGCCGGCGGAGCGAGATCTCCGATGCCTGTTATTGGCAGCTGCCAAGCCCTGTTGAGCGTAGAGCACAACATCAGTTGCAGTCTCGGAATGGTTAGCTTAAGTATTTAACTTACATGTCGCGGCGTGCAATAGATGTCTGTGCGTGTCGTTGCCGGCGCGGAGGACTCTGTGCGAGCTGTGAAGCCACCGCCGCCGCGTTCCTTGTCGTTCAGCAGATTCTCTGAGCTCTGCGAACGCGGCAGACTGGGCACGTCCTCCGACTGCAGAATGTTTGAGACGAGGCGCAACTTCTCGTCCTTGATGCGCATTCGCTCCTGCATCTTGGCGCGCTGTTCGCGCAGTTTCATGTCGAACTCGCGTTTATTTTTATCGGATTCAACGGCCAGCTTTGAGTTGAACTTCTTTTTCTGCTTCTCCTTCTCCTGTTCCTTTTGCGTGAGCAGATAATCCTGCTCGCTCAGCTTCTGGGTGAGCTCCTGGATCTGCCGCTCGCGCTTGCTAACCGTATTGTTGAGCACATCGATGGAGCTCTCGTGTATGCGCACCTTGTTCTCTAGCGCGGCGCTGCGCTCGCGCTCCTGCTTGTAGACGGCCTTCAGAGAGGCCAGCTCCGTGCGCAGCTGCAGATTGTCGCGGTCCAAATTCATCAGCAATTGCCGGAAATTGTCACCTGGCATAAACAGAGAGCTTGGTTAAGGACATCACTAGGGATTTGGAATATAATGTAGCTACATTTAATGTCCATGTTGGCGCGCAATTTGCGCCGCTTCTCGATGCGCTGCTCTAGATACTGCATCAGCTCCTGTATCTTGCACTCCGTCTCGGGAGTGTCCATCTGATAGTTGGGAAAATCTGGACCCAAGCTGTACACCAGGCCCACATCCACCTCCAGCTGCTTGGCCTCGGGTATGCCCAGCTCGTTCAGATTGTTGACAGCGATTTTGAACAGTTTATTGGCCTTGCGACGGCCGGGCGTCAAGCCCAGATCTGGTTTCATGGGCGTGGCACGCGCTATTTGCACCTCCTGCGTCATCTCGGCGAACTTCATGACTTGCTGCGTAGCGTAGAAAGTTGTTAGATAAACCTATACAGGCGTCGTATACGGGCTTCATATTTACCATATTCTCGTCGTAGTCCTCGATGCGCGGATTGACGCACACGATCATGGACACCTGGCCCTCGCCATCAAAGTAGTTCTTGAACATGTGCGTGATCTTTGAGTCGCGATAGGGTATCTTCTTGGCCGCCCCATTACCGGCCAGCTGCTGGTTTTCGCGCAGATATTCCAGGCAGGTGCGCAGCGTCATCAGCGAGTTGTTTATGTTGCCCGCCTCGCGCAGACGGACGCCCGTGTTCTTGGTGCGCGAGGAGCGTTCGCTGCCCGCCAAATCCACCAGCGACAGCTGGCTAACGGTGATCGTGTGCTTGTCCTGGACCACATGCTCGCCCTGGCAATCGGTGGGCGCCTGCACCAGGCGTATATTGAACACGGAATGGCTGCGACTCGACTCGGCATTGAGTATTGTGTTGCCCATGCGTTTGCGCTTCTGGCCCATTTGGAATACCTCCAGAGCTTCTTCCACCGTCTTGACCTCCACCTCGGTGACGCCGTGCACAAACATCTGATGATTGGCATCCTCGCGTATGATTTTGCACTGCAAGGATCTGCACTCTCCAGAGGATTAGCAACTAATAAAGATTGATTAAAGAGATGCGTCTTACTTCTGTACGCCCGTGTCCTCGAGCAGATCGTAGACACTGTTGTTGTACATCTCCACGTAGGTGATGAACACCGAGTACATGTTGTCCTCGTCCAGCACCGAGAGCGGCGTTGGCTCCACCGAGGCCTGTGAGGCTATTTCCGGATCAGAGTCCTTGCGCCGGAAGCCAAAGCGACCGGCGCCCGCAAAACGCTGATTCATTTCCTGCTGCCGCTCGAGCAACGCATCCTCCTCGGACAGAATCTCAAAGCCGTTCAGCCGGTCCGGCTTGAAGACAAACTTCTTGGCCTGATAGTCGGATATGGTGCGAAAAAGCAAATCCAGGCAGCGCGGCATTATGCCACGATGCCGTGCATTCCCCGTCATTGTGTAGGTCTTTCCGCTGCCCGTGACGCCGTACGTGAAGAGCAAACTGTTGCGGCCGCGCACCAGATTCTCGACCAGCGGCTGCGCAACGGCAGCGAATACCTCCTGCTGGTTGGAATCCGGCTGGAAGACATGCTTGAAGATGTACTGTATCTCGCGCTGGGCGCCGTTTTGCTTCGGATGCAGCAGCTGATCCTGCGAATTGAGCGCAATTGTGGTTGTGTTCTTGACACGCATGCACGTCAGATCGCCCTCCGATTGCAGCGGACGCACACGGCAGAATACATTCACCGGATCCTGCTGTTTATTGGACACGTCCCGTCGTTTCTCTGGGTGCGTATGCGCGGGCGCAGCGCGGGGAGTTTTCGGGACGCGCATTGGCGTACGGGGCCTGCATTGGAAACACATACATCTCAAGCATATTTTGCATTTAATGCTATTTGAATACTCACACTGCTTTCATATTGATATTTTTTGTAATTTTATTACGGCTGCAATCTTGTTTTTTTGCTTCTTTTAAAAAACCAACAGAGTTTTGGTTCGTTAGCTTCAAATGCTTGCGCCCATACAGACGCCACGCTTGTTCTTCCTCTTCTTTTCGATTTGCGTTCGCTGCCAACTTCATGTGGCTCGAAATTGCGTTCTAAACGCAGGGTTGTATTTTCGATAAGCAACAAGCAAAGCAACAATTTATTTCAACTGAATTTAGATTTCAGCACATTTGTTATTAATTAAACAAGTGCTAAATAACGATTTCACAATAATCAGCAGCGGTTGCTCAGTTGTTAAACAAAACAAAAAAACAGTTAATTTAAGCCGGTCGTTAAATTCAAAAATTTCTTTCTTCGAATAATATTACAATTTTAAAATGCATATTAAAGTGTCATAATTAAAATTACAAGTTAAAAGTTATTGCATTTGTGTGTGAACCACCGAAGACGCAACCTATTTTTTGTTGAACTTAAATACGGACAAGAGGTTACGCATGAGGGCGGGGCCATTCCAATAGCCCGGCAACATCAGCTTCCAGTAGAGCAACGGCATCAGATCCTTCTTCATGATGAACATGGAATAGCGCTCCTTGTTCTGTGCCACCGGGAACGTTTCCAATGGCGTCAGACTGTAGTCGAACTCCGCCAGAATAACGCTATTGTAGCCGGTCACCAGCGGACACGATGCATATCCATCGTACACATCGCGCAGAGGCTTCCCATTAAGAGCTGCGATCATATTGCGGAACACAACCGGCGATTGGGCAGCTGCAAATAAACAACAAATTTTGTATATCAATCTCTGGTCAATGCTATGGAAGGCTTCGAATGGTTTTCCAACCATTTTCCACAATTGCGGATGGTATATTATTTTTTTTTTAAATTTCATCTTACGTCATTTAAAAAAATATCAACCTTCCAGCTCTTACGTCAATTGTGCAACTTACGCCATTGGAAATATCAACTTTCCAGTTTTCCAATTGACTTACCTGCTGAGGCGGCAGTCTTGGAGTTGGGTGAACCGGACGAATCGCCAATGGCGAACACGTTCTTGTATTTCGTGTGCTGCAGCGTGGACTGATCCACGCTCACAAAGCCGGCTTCATTGATCAGCTGCTTGCAGCGGGTCAGCGCCTCGGGAGCACTCATCGGCGGCACAGCGTGCAGCATGGAATACTACGGATCATAAGACAACAATATCTATGGATATACTTGATGGACAAAAAGGGAACTGTACCTTCTCCTCGAAGCGTTCGGCGGGATTGTCCAGATTCTCAAAGACAGCTATATCCTGGCCCGGCTTAACCTCGATTAGATTACGGCGTGTGTTAACCGTAATGTTGCGCTTCTTAACAATGGGCCACAGGGCATCCGCATAGTGTTTGACGCCAAAAAGCACGGGCAGAGCCGTATTGTATATCACGTTAATCTTGTCACGCTTGCCCATCTGTATGGAGTCCAATTAGCAGCTTATCCGGATGTAGCAAACGGTTGCTTACCTTGCGGAAATAGTGCTCCGAGATGTAGACAATCTTTTGTGGTGCGCCCGGACACTTGACGGGCGACGATGGATACGTAAAGATGGCATTCCCATCCTTAATATTGCGCAGGCAATCGTATACTCTGTCCACATACATGGGCGAATATATGGAGGACACCTTGCCATTGGGTATGGCCAGCGCCTCCTCCAGTCCGGGTATCTGAGCGAGATCAAAAGGCCGGTGAGTGCCGAAAGAGACAAAGCTGGTCAGGATTATCACGAGCTTACCTTATTGTAGTTCAACTGGAGTCCGGTGGCGATGAGCAACATGTCGTACTTGATCGTATTGCCGCCGGTTGTCTTAACCGTATTGCTGTCCGGATCGAATTCAATGGCCGCCTCGCGCACCCATTTGGCCTTCTTGGGCAGCACCTGCGACATGGGCTTGTAGGAGTGCTCCAGCCGTTTCATGCCGCCACCAATTAGCGTAAACATCGGCTGATAATAATGTTTCTACGGGCGAACGCAACGGGCTTGAGTGCGACTCGACTCGACTGATTTCTGAGAGATTTGCTTACGTACATCGGCCGGTTCCACAACGATCACCTTGTTCCTGCCCAGGCGCGAGGAGAGCTTGGCGGCCATCGCACAGCCGCCGGAGCCGCCGCCAACAACCAAAACTTTGCAACTGTGTAAATAATATTCAAATTGAATGTGGCTGAAAAACGAGCTCAACTTTCGATCGATCAATCCCATTCCGATTCGGATAAAAGCCTTAAAACCGGAAGACGAAATACACAATACCCTCTACAAGGTTAAAATAACATATATAACAATTTTGCCAGCAGCTGTGACCGACTGCGCTCTACTCTGTTGCACTGAGAAACTGCGCTTAATTCAAACGAAAATTTGCAACTTTCGGAAATTTAAGATTAGCAAACAAGAATTTTTGCTATCTATAAAATGTTAACCTTGGATCTTGGACTATCTTGCTTTCATTTTCGTCGAAGTTGACGTGCAACCAATATGCCCGCTCTCACTATGCGTACAGGGTATATATGCATAAAAAAACAAACCTGCTGCCATCAGCCAAATTAATTTTGGTCTACGTGCTCAAATCCCCTCCCTGGCCACTAATCATGCTAATTATATTTGTTTTATAGATACATATACACATTAGGAATGCGCTGTCCAAACTTTACGATCTCCAATTGGGACCTGTTTGTTTCCCATGGCTAAGCAGGAGAAGGGGGGGGGGGGGGGGGGGGGGGGGAAGGTGTGGCAGGCGAAAACTTACTCATGCTTGTCGTGAAGCGCTTGGCTCGCCGATAGATGTCGCACCAGTAAGCGCTCGCTGAGGCGGCGTGTGGCCAGGATCTTGGTCTGTCTAAGGGCCAGCGGCAGGCAAGTGTAGGAGCTCATTTTGTACACAAAACCTTTTGGATCATGCGATCTCGGCAACTTTTTGCTATTAAAGATATCTCTGTGTGTATAATATATATACGTGTATGTGTGTGTGTGTGCGTGTGTGTCAAAGAGAGCTGCGCGATGCGACCTGCTGCGACGACGTCCGAATGACGACTGCCGACTGAGAGAGAGAGAAAGAGAAAGCAAGCAGCGGCAAAGCTTTTACCGTTCGATTAACACATTAACATACACCACACGCAAATGTGTGCTGCTAATGCTGCAAACTGGTAAAAAACAAAAAAAAAAAACACGAAAACCAAAAACACAAATTGTGTTTCGCCAGAATCCGTTTTTATTGCAAATGTTGTTTTGTTTTTGTTTTATTATATATTCTTGTTGCCGCAGCAGATTTGTTAATTACGCATGTTGGCTGCAAACTTTTCTCGCCCAGTGTATGCCGTTAACCTTGACTGAGCTTTGGCCACACGTGTGACGGTTATTTATTCGAAAAAAGCTTTGCAAGCTCAAACAAACGCAAGCTTTACTTGGCGTCTGCTTTTGACAAACTGTTGCGTACAGTGCTGCGCATAAATATAGGTACAGCAGAGCGTGCAGCTTTCACATAAGCTAAAGTCAAGTTATAGTCTAACTGATGTTCGATATCTGAACTGAATAGCTTTAATTTATGGCGTGCTTTGATATGCTGATATAACAGCTTTTCAATTTTATAGCATACTTTTAGGTTAACAGGGTCATCTAAGTTTCTATGTGGCCCAACAAATTGGAGAGATGGATGTATTAAGTTAATATTTAATCAAGCTGGCAGATTTTTTTGGGGCCTCGGGGACGACATTGACTGGGGATTTGTAAAACTTACACAAGTCGAAGTTTGTTCAGTTTTTATTTGACATTTTAGGGCAAAAATGAAATATTCCAGAATCAGGATATGTATGAGAACATTTTGAACCAATTTCGAGACACGGTTTATTCCAAAAATAAGCCTAGATATCTAAATATTTAAAATTATATATCTAAAGAGATGGTATTTAAAAAAGAAATTTACAGAAAACTATGAAATTTAGACGGAGCAAGAAATTAAAAAGCTTCAAAACGGAAAAGGAATTATTTTCGGTTTTGAAATCCGAAGGATTTTGTCATGTGAACTAGATCCAAAATAATCAGGTTTATCTGGCAGTTGTTGAGGTTATGTCCGATCCTCTCACATATACATAGGGTATACAGAACTTGCGGCCCCTAAAAGTATGACTCACAATTTTGGGCAGAATTGGAAAAGCTAAAAAAATAAACAGAACACTTGATGGGTTGGTCAAGGGGGGGGGGGGGGGGGGGGGGGGGTGGTGCGCGACATTTTAGATGTGATTAGTTAAACTAATTTGCGCCACAAAAAAAAAAAATACGCAGAATTGTGGCAACAGTTGTTGAGATACCCTAACCACATGCGCTTAAGCGGGTATTATGGCTTGGGCAAAATGTTTGTAACAGGCAGAAGAAAACATCGCCGATTCCAATGGAGGTTATAGATTCTTGATCAGCACGAAAACTTAGTCCAACTGGAGACATTCGTCTGTCTGGTTAGGTTAGCAATACCATATAATACATATATTCTTGATCCGAACTATATGTCAGTCTATCTATTCAGTAGAAAAGTGTCCCGATACCATATAGTATATATATTCTTGATCAGAACGAAAGCTTAGTCCAACTAGAGTCTTCCGTCCATCCGTTTCTGTGAATCCGTTCATTTCGGGAACTACAAAGCATCCCGATCCAATATATTCTCGATAGATCAGTTAAACCGGATACCGGTTTCATAAAGTATATATATAAAGTATATATAGTCCAGATAGTTCCGCCTGTCCGTATCCTTCGATCTCGGGAACTACTATGGCGCAGGGTATCTGCTAGTCCCGCACACCCGACTGGAGTACACTTAGCTTGTTTGTTGTATTTAATTACGACATGCTGAGGACTGATTGGTGGTGCCAGGACCAGAACCAGGACGAGCACGAGGACGAGGGCCAGGCAGCTGTAGGGACAGCGCCTCTGTGGGCGTGTGTAGAGCGTGTGGGTGTGACGCAGTCGCGTTATCAATTGGAGACAAGCTGACAATTCAAATGAAGCCCTATTGCCAGACACAGTTGGCCAAATTGGCTGGACGAGCGCGTGGGCGACTTTTGGGCTCGCCAAGCTGTGCGTGTCTGT